GTGCCGCCGCCGTCGGCTCGCGCCGTTGCAGGGCGCGCGCGCGGGCTTGCCTGTGTCATAGTGATATCGCCCCGCGCTCGGCTCTGGGGGTTCCGATCTGGGCATGCGAAGCTGGGCGCTCAGGTCGTCGAGGCGCGGATGTTCGAAGGGGCGCAGTCGATGTAGCAGTCGATGGCAAGCCCTGTGGGGAGATCGCATGTTCTCCAGTCTCTTCCGCAGATAGCGCAGTCCTGCACTCGTGTCGTTCTCCTGGAACAGCCCCCTCTGAATCGAGCTCTGCGTTGGCCCGCGTCGTTCCGCTCGATCGCAGCCCCGTGCCAGCAGAGTTTAGTTTTTTCGTATTACCAAATCAGCCCCACTATCGATGAGTTGTTCTTTTTGTCGTCGAATGTCGTCCTGTCGCGCCTCCCCCCCCTTCCATTTCACCCCGGAGCCGCCGATCGGCTCGCTGAGCGATCTGCAGGCGTTCTGCCCAAGGTTCCCTGAGGGAACGCAGCTCCCGCCCTTTTCCTCCCCCCTTCAACCGGCGACCATGGCGTCCGCCGATGGCATGTTTCGCGGCTTCGTCTGCCTCCTCGCTCCGTCTACTGGGGCGCGGGAGTGGATGCCCGTGGACTCCCTCGGCTGCGCCCTCGTCTTTGGCCCAGTCGCCGCTTCGATCAGACAGCCGGCGCTCCCGCGCGGTCGACGTCGGGAGCCTCTGGTCGCGACTTCGAAATATAGCGATTCTGTGTTTCGTTCGCCCCCTGCGCAGGCGTCGACGACGACGACGACGACGATTTCGCAGCTTGCCTGTCTTCTCGCCGAGGCCAGCGAGTGGATGACGGACCAGCAGCTCGCCTGGTGGACGTTGGTGGTGGCCAATCTCGGCCAGATCTCTCGGGGGGCGCGTCGTTCGCCGTCGGGGCGCTCGCGTCGGCGGCTGGCCCGAGTTGCTCCTCGGAGCGCCGATCCGACGTCGCATCGCTGCGCGGTCGGAGCGGCCGTCGAGGGGCGACGAGGCCGCGCCGCCGACGCGGGCGCTTCGACGGCGACGCCGGAGGCGTGGAGCTTCATCCTCCGCGTCTACCCCAAGACCGTCGTCGGCTACATCTACATGTGCGCCGCCGACCTGCCCGGGATGCCCGTCGACTGGGCGGGCCGCTTCACTTCTGCGGGAAGCCTCATGGTTACGTCGGAGCGCGCGCCGCGCGCCATCTTCCACATTTGAATGGTCGCCGCGCTTGCCCCTGCTGGGCGCGTCGCCTGGGCGCTGCGACCGAATTCCAGACCCTCGCCGATTTCTGACTGTAGAATGTTAGTATATTAGTTAAATAGATGCTGCGTGTGGGTGACCCCTGCAAACTCAGCCTCGTCCCCCAGGACGCAGTTGTTGCGGCGGCTGCGCCTGCCTGCCCGCTGCTCGCTACTGCCGCTTCAAGATCGCTTGTCGCCGCCGCTCCAGGGGGGGGGGGGGCGGGGAGGGAGGGGCGATGCAACGGTTCGCCATGCTCCCTTCTCCTCCTGCTATGCTCGCATGCTGCTCCACGCTGTCTCCTCCCCGCGCCCTCTGCTCATGCAGTTTATGCTATTTTTTTGTTTCCGGGTTCCCCGTCTACTCCGCGCTCTCCCTTGTGATTCCATATCGCCGCTCCTCTTTCTCCCCCTGCTTCGCTGCGGACAGTACTGCTCCATTCCAATCCATCCCGCCTTCGCTGATTCCAATCATGTCTGCCTGGTCCGGCCATTCGTTTCGGGCGCCTTTTTACTTCTGGAGCGCCGCCCATGAGTTGGGCGCTTGGCGTGCTCCGTGTCCAACCCATGGGAGGAGAGACGATGAGGCTGGGTAATTCAACCTCTGGGCGGGTCGGGAATCAGGCATCCGTGCTTCAGGTGCCTTCTACTCTGTGGCCGCCGCCCATGGGTTGGGCGCCTGGGTGGAAGCTTTGAACCGCGGTGAATGCTATGTCGCGCAAGCATCGCTGGGCCCGCGAGCGCCCGCGAGGCCGCGCGGGTCCCGACGTGGCGACATTTGAGCCTGCCCAAACCGAATCAAGAACCCTTGCGGTGCCAGCACTGTTTGAGGAACCAGCGCAGTTCAGCATTTCACGATTGAGCAGCGCCGCGCTGGCGGCATCGCGGCCGCCCCCGTCATCGACGCCACAGTTGCAGCTGCATCTGATCAAGGATCGCAGCCATAGCATTATCTGCCCACCCACCACCCGCATCTCGATCACATGATCGCAGCGGCGGCCGTGGCGCCGCAGATGCTCGAGGAAGCGCAGCTCCTGCAGCTGCAGATGGAGCAGGGCGTCGATTATCTCGCCTTCCTGATGACCACGGGACTTAACGGGATAACGAAATGTATTTACATGCGGTGCGGCCCCAGGGGGGCCTGCATTGCGTGCCAGCGGGGGGCGGCGATCAGAATTCGAAAACATTGCCGCTGGCAGTGCCATTGTCCCCGTCCTTCTGGGCATCTGGGGGTCGAGCATTGAGCGCGCCGTTGGTTGGCGCGCCCTTCCTCGGGAGCCGTCAGCCATGCGCTTGCGCCGACTCTGGCCAGTTCGCGGCCCGTGGGTCGGCGTGGACAGAGTCGGCGTGCGCGCGCGTAGTTGGCGCCTCCATTGCGACTGCCCGTGTCAGAGGACGCGAGCGCTTCAAGGAGAACCAGGCGCTGGTTGCGTTGGCCAGCGGTCGATCCACAACCGCCCGCGGCTTAGATCCTCGGGCCGGCGGATTGACAGGGCGCGGGCGGCTACTTCCGATGCGATCGAGTTGCGCTCGGTGCTCGATGCGCTCGCTTATCGGTGAGCCGATGGGCGGGTTTCTCCGCGGTCGCCGTCTGCACTCCTGAAGTTATTCGCTGTTTTGATGTCAACATCGAGAGGGCGATATCGCCTTCTTGACGCAGGCAGCAAAGCATAGTAGAATGGCGGTCAGGTCTCCGCCGACATCATGAGTCGCATAGCGGAATACATCAAGCCGCATGCGCGCTCCACCTTCGCCCCGTGCCCCATCATGGATCCCGCTGCCAATGATGCGGTGCATGCGTTCCATTAAACTCGAATGCTCAGAACGAATATATGCCCTTCCCCTCCCCCCCCTCTCCCGCTGGTCTGGAGCTCCTGAGCTTCTCCGCGTTTTGATTTCCCACATCCGCAGGTGCTGCCGCATGACCCCAGCCACTGGCTGCGCAACGCGCTCGTGCACGACAGCGGGTTCAACCCGAACCCGCCCCGCGAGCACGACGTGACGCGCCTCGAGTTTAAGGTGATGGCGCTCCTGGCGGCGATGCGGTGCATCGCAGAGCGGGCCGAGGAGCTGCGCCAGTGGGGGTTGCAGCTCTTCCAGAAGACCGAGCTGGTCTGGGAGTGGGTGTTCGACGCGCGGCGCCGCCCGCGCCAGGTCGATGCACCTCGGCGCTGGGGCTGAGGGGGGAGGAGCTCATTCGTCGTCGGGTGTCTTAGGGTAGACCTGAGTAGTGCTTCCTCACTACGGTTTTGTTACGGCCTCGGAGAGCGCGCTTCTCCGACCAGCGCGTGCCACTTGCATGCTGTCTCCTCGTCCTCCACCAATCCATGGTTTTCCGTTCCGCCTTCCCTGCTCCTCTTGTTCCGCTCCGCGCCATAGTACTCAGTCTCGGCTTTCCTGCGTCCTCTTGCTTCGTCCTCCCCCATGCCGCTCCACGCTACTCCATTCCGCCAATCCTGCCTCCAACCGTGTGTTTCTGCTTCATGCTAGTCCATGGTTCGTGGCACTCTCCCTTCTCTTCCTGCTTGCATCTGCTTCCCCCTGAATCGGGCACTCGTCCTTCAGGTTCGTTCTACTCCCGGGGCGCCGCCCATGGGTTGGGCGCGCGGCGCGCCGCGCGCCCATGCCATGGGCGGAGTGACGATGAGGCGAGACAGTCCAACTCATGGGCGGTCTAGAATCAGTCATTCCTGGAGCGCCGCCCATGGATTGGACGCTCGGCGCGCCGCGTGTCCAACCCATGGGCGGATCGACCATGGGGCGAAGTAGTCCAACTCGTGGGCGGGCTACGAATCGGGCATTCGTTTCGTGGGCGTTCTCTTCCTGGGGCGCCGCCCAGGGGTTGGGCGCCTGGCTCGCCGCATGTCCAGCCCATGGGCGGATCGACGACAGCGTAGCCGTCGTCGCTGACGTACGTCATATCTCGATTGCAGCGTTAAGGGCAAAGGATTTGGATGGGCAGAGGAGTAGCATCAGCGTCGGCGCCCAGGTAGACGCCCCGTCGCCGCGGCCAGAACCGGCGACGCCGTCGGGCGCGAGGCGCCGCCGGGCGCGGCCGCGAGCTCTCTCTTTCAGTTGTCACCACAGGCTCTCCGCTCCGCCACGGGCTCCCTTGAGGCCGCATTTCTCCGAGACACGGGTGCGAACGCGCCCAGCCAGCAGGCGACCGCCTGCGGGTTGCCCGCGCCCTCCGCCACCAGTCCAACCCATGGGCGGTGCAGAATTTCAGACATTTCATTCGCGCCGACTACGACGCCCATCCAGTTTCATGTTTTGATTCTGTCTGAGTGAACGGCCGAGGTCTGTTCGCAGGCCAAGTCCATGGTGTGTTCTAATTGGCGCGCGTGGGCATCATCCGCTCGGGAGTTCTTGCCCATGTGTTGGGCGGCGACCCGACGTGATCGCTCGGGTGGCGATCTCATCATTGTCGACCGCGGCTGTTTTGGCCCGAGAGCTCGGCCCATCTTGCTGACGCGCGCGCCCGAGCGATTCTGTATTCAGCGCGTCTCTGGGCAGCCCGCTCCGCGCGATGCCGCGCGCGCAGCCGCCCAGGTCCACGCGGGGCGAGAAGCAGAAGTGCAGCGCATGCGGGTCGGCGCACCACCGCGTCGAGACATGCCAGACGCCGGCGGCGGTCAAGATCAGGGATCTCATGCGGCAGCTGAAGGAGACCCGTCGGGGAAAGAAGGCCGCGAAGCCAGTGCGGCGCAAGCCCGTGCGTTCCGTCCCCGCCAAGACCGGCTCGCATAAGATTTAAGGCGACGAAG